TATCCATCAAGATGATTGTAAAGAGTTTTGATGGATTCTAGGGTGACCAGAGATGGTAAGTTTTGGTAAATATTACCAAGTTTTGTGAGGGTTTTGATTATTGTTAGGCTAACAATGTTAAGAGTTCATGTTAAAGCTGCAGTTCCTGGAAGGCAGGGATTTAATTTTGTATTTTTCTTTCTCAAACCATGTATCTGGCATTTGTTATAGACAAATCTGTAGAAATGGAAGCGAGAAGGATGGGGTGATATCTGAGAATAGGACAGCAATGTGAACATGAGCTTTTATGTAAGAAATTACATAGTGAGGGGGAACTTAGCAATGACTGAGAATTGATTAATTGGACAGAGCTGATAGATTTGCTGACTTTTGGAGGAAACTAGAGAGAGGCTGAATTTATGCATTCGAGGTATCTGACCAAATATTTAATTATTAGAGTGCTGTCAATCTCCAGTTTTCTAGACATGTAACTATAACAACACAAGCAAAAAAAAAGTAGATGTGTTCAAGTTTTTAAAAGTTAATTCAGCTTCTAAAAACACAGTAGAATAAATGGGTTATTCTGTAAGTGTTCCGTTTTATCAAACATCCTGAGTTATGTGTTAATTGAATCTATCTTGCTCCCTTCCTGTGACTTGTTACTGACTGGGAGGTAGGAACTGGTGCATTAAGGAAATGAAACTTGTCCTTTTACATTGACAGTGTTTGTAAACAATAACGCATCCGTAAAAAATGTGAACCATCAATAATTCATGACGTGTTTTCAGTCTTCGAACTCTTTTCTAAGTCAACACTAGAATAAATTTGGCAGTAGATCAAAGAATCTCTTTTGGAAGATGAGGCCTTACATGGGCTGAGAACTACCTACAAAATGGCCCGTTTAACACTATCATTAATTGGAGGGTGTGATTTTTATGGTCAATGAACACTGATCTCAGCCTGACTCTTTCTTCTCTGGTTATGTGTTCTCATTCCTTCACTTGTAGTGATACTTATTCATGTGCAGCTGTGCAGGAACTTGGACCACCCCTTGGCCTGAGGCCCCTGGGAAGTACTTTTCTTAAGGAGGGCTTATTTTTCAGCTGAATCAATAAGCCATTCTAATAGGCACACAACTGCATAAATCGACAGCAAGGTGTGGGCAGGAACGGTTGATTAAAGCTAATGAAGACTTCACAGTATTTTGTTGATGTGGGCTTTTGGATAGTTGCTTGGCTTCTTTCATAGTAACAACAGAAAAACATCAGAAGACAGGAATTTTGAGAAATTCCAATATTTGGTTTTGAATAAATAACACTCAGCAATTAGCCCACTAATGTTTTGTTACATGCAAAACATCCTATGTACCTATTTGCTACAATAGGAAGATAGGCTCCATCTATCTGTAAGCTGTTTCTTATCAATAAGACCTTGCAGCATTGGAGACCCCTTGTGACAGATGTTTGTACAGAGACAGCCTGTCCATCCAAAATATTTTAAAGGATCTGGGCTTTAAGACTTAATTGTATTAGTATGGTATAGTAAAGCCTTTGAGCAAAGCTGTCACCTTCAGTGGACTGTAGGAGTTCAAACAGATTTCATACTGCAAAGGTTTAAGGTTGTAACAGCTGCTGTAAAGTTGGGTGATGTCACACTGAGGAGTGTTTTGACCCTGGAAACCTGCATTGTAACTGGAATAGGTTTTGTACTAAAAATCACACTGAGCCAGTAAGATATCAAAAAATTGCCTCATAGTTCCCAGGGAAGTTTCCTAAGATCCCTTGGTGATTCTGAAGTAAAAATTCCACTGAAAGCCACCTCTGAGCTTTCAAAAAATTTCACTTAAATGTTTGTACTGTTTAAGCATTTCAGAAAAGCTATGAGAGCCTCACTAAAGAACTGCTAGTCTCTATTACAGAGAAAGTATTTCATGAAGTCAAGACTGGGACAAACAAGCAGCAGCTCTGAGATAGCTGTGAACAGTCCCTTTTCACCTCACTGCAGTGTAACTTACTACATTGACATTAATAAAGTTAAACTTTGACAATTATTCTGCAGATGACTTTAAAGTGAAACAGTTGTTTCTAAAACTGAAGAACTAGATCTTACTATAATCTGATCCTGCTGACTTTTTTTATATCACACTACCCCTGGTCAATGGGGAATAGTTCTAGTATAGACAGGTATCTATTTAAGTTAGAGAACTTCTAGATATGAAGAAAGTATCTCAAATATTCTGCCTTGTGTTTTAATCTTTAAAAAGAATAAACTACCTAGTTGCTTTAACTTGAATTGGTCAGCAAAATTCAAGTTACCTTGCTGTTGATCAAAGTTCTGTGCCTTTCCCAAAAGGCAATTGTGTTAATGGCTTAGTACATCTTACAAACTAACACCTAACTTTTCACCTTCTTTGCTTGCAGCAGCAGCGTCAGTAATTGCAGTCTGTTAAAACTGCATGGAAAATTAAATTCAGTGCAGCCATTTGGAAAAGATCCGTTTCCCCTGCAAAACAGAACAGATCATGCAGCTGTACATATCCTGGAAGAAAGTACTGGTCTAGAACGATCTGTCTCAGCTCCAAGGAAAGGTTTTGGTTCAGTCAGACATGTATAGATTAAATTATTTTCTGACACTTCATTTATTCAGGGTTTTTTATCCCAGTGATGATTTTCAGTGGTAGCACTGGTTGGAGGTTTTTCTGAGTTCTTCAGGGAGTTTTGTTAGTAGTGTACAAACTCACAAACTTCAGTTTTGTTGTGACATTGCTTACATCTACAACTATGTGGAATTAGTGTTTGCAGATATTTATAAACTACTGATATATATAAACTACTGATATATGAACTTGTGGGGTTGGATCTGAGAGCTTTGGTTCTAGCCATGGATTTGAAGGAATCACTGCCATCTTCAAAATAATTCTGTGGTTTCCAGCTTCTTCAGAAGCCAAGGATATCTAGGATTATTTGGATAAGAGGTATAAGAATCACAAATCAGTCATAAACTGAAAATGGCACCCAATAACCATTTAAAAGTGATTCCTCGATATTTATTTTGTTTTAGTGGGCTCTGAATTGTCTTAGTAAAATAGTTTTCCTTTATGATAATTTATTTATGCAATGGTCAGTGTTAGGTTAATGGTTGGACTAGATGGTCTTTAAGGTCTTTTCCAACCTAGGTGATTCTGTGATTCTGTATTTTTAAAATAGTAAGAATCTAAAACTCTGAGAAATTACTAACAACACAATAAATGCAATGACATTGTGTTAAAATAGTCATTTTAGCAGTGAGTCCAGTGGTGGACACAAATAAGGACTCCTTATTTTATAGGAAGAATATTTTTGCAAAGAATCCTGCATTACTTGAAGCATGTTAATTCTGTTCCAGATATGTTATGTTGTACCTGATACTTCAGAGGTTGTGAAATGAAAGAAGTATAGAAAAAAAACAACCCCGTATCTCTCCCTATTTTTTGTTGATCTCGTGAAGGTGTATGCTTGTGTCAACTACGGTTGTGATCATAATGTCTAGGAAATCAAGGAAGCAGAAGTAAATGGGTCAATCAATCCATTGTAGGAAAAAAATCCCAGATCTGTAAGCATTCTGTTGAAGTGAGAAACTGAGGATTAAACCTCAGGAGTGGCCAATGCTTTAAACAATTAAGTGAGAAGGTCATATCCAAAGTGGCTTGTAGCCAGTATCAGATACCCTGGCTTTTACATTCGCTATCAGTCACAAAGAGGGAACACACACATGCTGGAAGAAAGTAATTGTTGCAGATTAAAGCCCCATGTGAAATAAAAGAGCCATCAAAATCCTTTATAGTTGCTTGGCATGAGTTCTGATAATACAAAGTACTCTTATTGTTATTTTAAAATGCAGCTATCTAACACAGACTAAACAAAAATCCCTCAAGACAATAGGGCCAGCCTGTGAGTTTAGTGTGTTTAATTGCTGTGCACAGCTGGAGCTGGCAGGTGAAAAGCAGAGACATGATTGCTTGTTCAGATAGGAAGATTTAGATTTCTTCTACTTTTTTTTTTCCTGTTGAACGTCATCTCACATTTTAGCTGCAGATAGGATTTTGTTATTTTGACGTGTTTTACATCTGTCTGTTCTTATTTATTTTACATGCAGAGAAACATGATTTTGTTTTCTCTTGCACATCTCATTGGCAAGAATAAAAAAGACACAGTGCCCTAGTGTTGGAGTCAGTGTGAAAGACTTATCATCATGCAAACTTAAAAAATGAAACGTATTTCTTGTGGAACTCACACATAACAATTTTTTGACTTACTGTATGTGAGGCCAACCCTAAGATAATAGTGTTAAGACAGATGTATGCACTTGAGCAGAGATCCATGGTTCATATTTTTCTTCAGGGATTGGCTTAAAGTACTGGAGAGTTTACACACCAAAGAAAGAGTACAGGATGCTTTCACTGTCATATTTTGTCTCTTGCCAGTCATCAAGAATTATGCAGTAATATTGCTTGTTAATCAACCAACTGTTCTGCACAGGTATTGATTCTTCCGTGCTCTCCATGTTTTATGCTCTGTTTTAGGCCCATTGTTTCTCTTGGAAGTCAGTATGTGCAAAAAATGCAGCTTTGAATGTTACACAACAGAATTCAGCTTCCATCTGCCCAGTCCTCAAGGAAACATCAACAGTTGGTGGTGGGAAGAGGCCTCATTATTAAGAGGTAATTATTTATGATGCTTTTCTGTGCATTTGCTAGCACATTATGACCAGTATGATCACAATTAAATTGTGAAAACTGTGGCATATATAAAAAACAGTGCTAGCAGTTGAGAGAGATAACGCTGTAGTTCAGGTTTTATGAAACAATTCCTTTTTGAATAGTTAGGACTGGGTGTTTTAAGCATAGACAATGCCTACATACACGCATACACACATAAAATGTTGTTCTCTATATCTGTCTGTTAAAGACAAACTATGATTTTTGATGTTGAGAAACTCAAAACATTTACTTTCTTGGGTTTTGTGTTCGCAAAACCTCCAGGACAATATTATTGACTTCTGTCTTTGAATCAGAATAAGGGGGAAAATAACATTGTAATGTTATTGGTGGTTTATGTACTTGTACAGTCAAATATATTTGAAAGTATACACCATGCTGTTTGCCTGTGTGTGTGTGTACCATGCCCTGTGCAAAACTTTTTAAATAAGTCAGTGTTGCCTGGTTCTAAGTTAATTCTGGTTGACATATTCTGTCATGCATTCTGTGGGGATTGAGTTCACTGAGTTTTTGAAGTTTTAAGTTACCAAATACTGCAATAACTACTATTACAGTATTAACAACTATTTTAAGTGATAAAAAGCCCTAGCGTTATGATCAAGTATATAAATGTGAATCTCCCAACAAGCAACTGAAAGAAAGTACCAATAAGAAAAATCTCTCAAAGAGAATTTTAAAAGAAAATTATTGCTTCTAAAAAGGAAGATGTCAGTTGGACTCAATTTTTCCATTTTAATTTCTGCCAGAATCATTCAAGTCTCTGTCATTTCCCTTTTCTTCTGTACGCTTGTTTTTTGATTCAGACAACTGTGGAATTTCCTGCTTTGTTTTTGTTTTGCTAGTGCAACTAAACCAACCAACAGTCAAGGTCATTGTAGAAAACCAAACTTTCAGTGCAATTTGAACAAAAACATGACCTCTCTGTGTCTGCTCTTCCTCTGTTCTCTGAACTACTATTTCCTTTTGTGGTGCTCTAGTTTTTTCCAGAGTCTGCATATTCACACATTCTCATGTTTCTTCCCCTCTCTCCTCAGTTCCTTGCTTTATCGTGGGCACTCTTGGTTTTGCTCTTTCACCTGTTATTCCTGACAAGTTTTCTTTTTCCTTGCTTTTCTTTTGTCTGGGTCGGTCTTTGCTAGTTCTGTCTCATTCCATCTCTAGTCCCTTTTGCCTCCTCTGTCCCCACAGCCTCCTTGACTGCAGCCATAAACACAGGGTGGTCTGGTTCCCAAGTAGCAGGATATGCCTGGGGAGGGCTTTGTCCAGGGGTCTGACACTGCCCATGTGATTTTTCCCTGTCACTGGATATGGTGGAGCCGTGAATTATCTTGCTGTCCCAGACTTGGGGACTGCAGTGTCCCAGCCCTGTTTTCTCCCTGCAAAGCAGTCATCCTTGCTCTGCCAGTAGCTGCAAAACCCTGCAGCTGGCAGCAATAGGGTCTTGCTGCCCACAGTGAGCCCTGTTTCTGTTTCCAGGGAGCAATGCCTATTCCAGTGAGGGATGTTGGAGGTTTTTTTTTAAATTAACTGCTGTCTCTATTTGAAGAGATCTTTAAAGACAGACCCCGTACTTTCATTGTACTTCTGGTTGTTCCTTGGTGAGTTACCCATTCATGGAAATTCTGTTCCCCAAACATTTGCAGCTATCATTAATAGAATTGTAACAGACATTGCTGGTGAGAAAACTTGAAATTAGTTCAGAGTTGCTTGAATTTTTGAATTATTAAAAAAAAAAAAAAAAAAAAATCAACCACCTTTTTCTGTAGCAATTAAGATGTATTTTTCCGGACATTTTTCCATAACTGTTACTTTTGTTGCTGTCTACCATTCTACCAATCTGTAATTTACCAAGCCTGTTAGGAGACAGTTGTGTTTATTGTAGGAGTTTGCACAAATCTTTGCTACCTTCAGAATGCTTGGGAAGAGGGGTAGGACAAGCAGCCTATTGCATAGTTCAGTGGTAAGCATAGAAACCCCTGGATGTGAGGATGCTGCAAGTTCAGACTCTCTAGCTGTGCTGCACAATTAATCTTTGTGAAGGTAAAAGATTTGTGACTTTGGTAGGAAGAGGTGCAGTGGGGGTGAGGTACATTTTTTTAGGCATGTTGAAAGAGCAACAATATATTTCTATGTCTTTATTTTCTTGGTATCTGTTTTTCTCTGCTGTTTTCTTCCTTGTTCCACAGGACCTTCTGTGAAAGGTGCAATCATGAGTGCAATGGGTGGGTTAGAAGTAGTTTTAGTTGCACCTGGCCTCCAGCTCTTCCTGTAGATACACTGCTCCTGTTTTTATTGCTTGGCTTTGTAGCATTTGAACTGCAGAGTGATAGCCAGTTCGTGTTCTTCCACAGTGGCAACAGTCTTTGAAAATCCCCTTTGCTCCAGTCAAATCCCTGGTTAAATCTGAAAGCAAATGGGAATATCCCTTTCAAGTGGTTTCACAAACAAATGATTCCGAAAATCCTTCTTTGAATTTAACTGTGAACCTCAAACAGATAAGACAAATGTCTTTCACTTGCAACTCTACATGCAGTGGAAAGGTTAGTGGCCTTTGAGCAAGTATGTGAAAGTACGGTGAGGATGAGATAGGGAAGGGGGATCTGCTTTTTTGAGTGGAGTGACTTGCTGCTAGTGTGGAGGGGCTTGCAATACAAATATCTGCATTCATCACCCCTTTTTAAAACAGATTTTAAAATTACCTTACATTATGTACTCTGAAATCTACTGATTTTCTCCATCACTACTATAAAAATTATGTTTATCGTAAGTGCTGTCTCCTCCATGGAAATTATTTGGCTTTTACCCTCATCAGTGGGATATAAGAACACTGTGTGATAATAATAGTGGCTTATTTATTCATCCTTAAAAATGTAGTCCTTTCTGTTTGTTCTTGTTATTCAGAAAATAAGCAGAGCATCTGGAGAAAATATATTTGCAAGCCACATAGATGAAATGGATGTTTGTCTACCACTGTTAAAGCAACAATTGAGAGGAGGAAGCCTTGAAATTTTTTTTGTTCATTAATAACTGTTAAACAGGCTTTACTCTGGTAAAGAAAAATCTGAATCTGGAGATTTACACCGATGGCAGATTGCCCATATTTTCATATAATTGCAGTAATTCTGTATCATCAAGTTTAGCTGTTCCTAACATTCTCAAGTCTTTCTGCATTAAACCTGCTGACAGGCATATATATTAGTTGCTTTCTTTATGCTTCATTTTCTGCCTGCTGTACCTCCCCTCTCTCTGAGTCTGTGGTTCACACACCAGACATCCTGCTACAGTGTCTCAATGATACACTTTGATACAGCGGGACATGTATTCCAGCAACCTGAGGGGGGATGTGAGAATGCAGGCCTTGAAATGCCTATCTTTGAAAGACTTATTTTCCTCATCAGGGACAACTCATTTGGTCTCTCTTGGGTTTGGTTTTGGTTTGTTTGTTTTTTAATTTGGAAAGCATCATGCAAATATTGCTTGTCATAGTTTGAAATATACATCTTCTTGTCACAAGCAGATGCTGCAGCAGTATAGGGTATTGGTTATGATGTTGGTTTGACTGCTGTACTGGGTTGTCAAGTCAAAAGTTATTTTATCTCTCTGCTTTTGAGTTATCCCCTCACTCCCCTGGACCACCCTAGCAAAGAAAATTCTTCCCTCACTTGTAGCAGCTCTGGCATAGAGGGATGGGCTGTCCTGCATAGATTTCCTCCAGCCATGGTGCTGTGCTCTGGAGTGACAGGGATGCTTGGCTCCGGCTCCTGGCCACCTAGTGCCTTTGCATCTCAGTGCCTTTGAATCTGGCAATAAATCCATTGCCTTGAAATGCCTCAAATTACAGATGTTGCTCTGGTTTAGGCTGCATGAATGTTGTTATTTGGTTTCTAAACAGCAGAAGTAGTACAGTATGTTTGCTTTTTAACCGAGTGCTAGGATAGGCTATTGGATATCTATGCAGGCACAGGCATTCCCCCTCTAACATCACGTGGCTGTGGAAGCAGATAAGTCCTTTACTGTCTCTTGCAGAGCTTGTTGCAGGTGAGGAGTCACCATGTGGCCTGAAACCTGGGAGCATTTACCTGGCACTGGTGTTTAACTGAAGCCATGGTCCAATTCCATAAATCAGAATCACACAGGATTGATCCAAAGCCCCTCAAACCTCAGGATCCTTTGTTGTGTCTTGTACCAGGCCTCTGCTGAGAGTGAATTTGGGGATCCATCCACACTGTTCTCTTCTTCACCAAGGGCAGCAATTTGACAGCACACCCTTTTGGTTTTGTTTGGTGATACCCATTGCACAAACTTCCTTTGTCTGTGGCTGCTTGGCAGGCAGTATAATTTATCCTAGTTTAATGTGAGGTATTAAGCCTGTTGTGCAAATCTGACTGTTCCCTTTTAGATGGGACCAATGTTTTGTAAGAAGAAAGGCAACAAAGTAAAGATCATTGCATATGTTGTCCTTCCAGCTGTTTCAACTGAACACCATCTGCTGAAAGGCTGAATCCCCTTTAGGGGGACATCACTCTCCTGTTGTCAACTGAAGCACTTCTGAAAAACTTTTTTTTGTTGTTTTAAAGCAAAGTTGCATTTGGATAGTCTTTAAAGGACTTTTGAATAGTTGAAATAACCACTGACTGTATAAAATATTTCCCAAAACAGGTGCTATTTTGAGTCTTTATGGTATAGTAGGCACTATAGAATAGAGGAGCAGAATAACAGCATTTTGAAAATCCAACAGTAAGAATATTAAATAGCTCTGTGAGCATACACTGGTCCTTTACATCCAAAATTTCAGAGGGATCCCCTCATTTTGAACACCTAACTTTACATGGCTAATCTTTTTTACATACATGTCACTTCTATTTAAGTGTCTAGAACAAGTAATAACAATGGATTGTAAAAGCTGGATGAAAAAAATGTACCCAAACCAAGCTGCTTCTGAA